AAGATTCACACAACTATCATCACAAACAATGACAACATCACCATCAAATAAAATTGCAATTATACCATTCTCTTCATTCTTATCTTCGTCTTTACCCTTTTTATCTCTTTTATACTTTCTATAGTCTTTTTGAATATGGACGCTTATCACAATAATAACATTTAATTGCCTTTCTTGACTGAGATCTTCCTTTTGGCTTCCACTTGCCTTTTCTATTGTTAGATTTTCTATTTTGCTTGCTGTGAGAGAACCTACTTTGACTTCTCCCTTAACTTTCTGTAACAAGTACATGAGACTCGAAAGTGCTTGTCTCTTTCCTTCTGTTCTCTTCATTGAGGATACTATCTTTTACTATTTTCAAAGTGATATTTTTATTTGGAGTAGAATTGTTAAATGACACCACCAAAGTCTCCCAATTATCCGGCAATGAACTCAATAGGATTAGTGCTCACATCTCATTGGCTAACTCAAGATTCATCAATGATAGCTGATTCAAGAACCCTTGGAATTCATTTATATGCACTAAAGCATCTTCACTATCTATATACTTCAAATTCATAAGGTCTCTAATTACAAAAACCTTATTTTGTGCACTCTTTATGGCAAAGGTTTCTTCTAACATCTTCCAAACTGTATAGCAGTCATGTTCTTGAGAAATATGATTAATGGACTTAGAAGATACCCATTTTCTAACATAAACAATCGCCTTTCTATTAAGTCTATTCCATTTTGCCTCATCCATCTCATTAGGCTTTTTTTCTTTACACTCAAGCAGCAAAACCAAATCATTGCAATATAAGTGATCCTCCATCATTGTTTTCCATAGAAAATAATTAGAGGAAGTGAGCTTTATCATGCCCGAATCTTTCTTTTCCATTTTAACTGCATAAAAAATTCAATCTACACAATCAGTGCTCTGATTCCATTTTGTTGAGAAAACTAGGAACAAATAACCGGACACCAATTTACCCGGATCAATTCATAATTCACAAGTTTTAATTTTTTTTCCCTCTTTGTGCAATCAAAAGCAGGATCAAACAATCAACAAATATAAAGCAATCATCACACAAATCAACACAAAGATTTTTACAAGGAAAACCCAATGCGAGAAAAACCACGAGATTGTAATCCACTTAAAAACTTTCACTATCAACAAATAATAGGTTCACAACTGTTCTTCTTTAGATTCAACTAAGGGCTACAACATTAATAACATCAAGAACAACTTATTTTTGGAATACAACAAGATTAAAGAAGTATTTGAAAAAAACACTCACAATACTGATAGCTTTGTTTTCTATCAAAACAGCTAGCTTCCACACCACCAATCTTCAATCCAACCATTCAAAATGAAGAGTAATGTGTCTAAAAGCTGCCGTTAGAATCTTAGCCCGATCCAACGATGAACAAGCTAGGAATCAAGGAATAAAGACAGAAAGTACAGCTACCTCTTCTTCCTTCCTTTTTCTCTTGTCTCTTCTACTTTCTCTTTTTCAAATTTGTTGTGAATAGTGAGCATTATATTTTTAATTTCAAGAGACAGCTATGTTATTGTCTCTTGACAATTAATATGGTGGTTTCACCATCATATAATACGGGATCACACACAACAATCATCTCATGATGAGACAGTAACAAGACTCAGAAATATTTTCTTGTTGGATCTTTCAACCAAATCCTTAAAGCATAATGAAGAAAAGCTGTGATGAGGGACGTAAGTGTTTCCTTCAAGATTAAGTGATCGGCAACTCTTTTTTCCTGTTGCCCCCAGCAAAATAAGGTTATCTTCCCTTCTTCAATCCTTTCTTTTTTGCTACCTTTTGGTCCCGAGTTACAGTAAAGAGATTAGAAATTGTCTCCAAAAAGGAGAGGAAAGAGAGGTTTGTATCAAAATAAAGCTTGAAAAAATCTCTGCAGAAAAGCTAATAAGATATAAATATATAATCTTGTTTTTTCCTGAAATCTCTTTACGCATTACCTTTCTCTTTTTCAAGTCCTTCATTGCAAACCCTAACATATTTCTTTCATTTGCAAATCCTTCAATGATTTTCGTTATCTTTGTTCGTTCATCTAAATTCTTCTCATTCTATTTCGTTATCTTTGTTCGTTCATCTAAATCCTTCTCATTCTATATATATTTCCAAACTTTATTTTTCTAAAATATAACTATATTTTCTCTCTTCAAAAAACTATTTATTTAAATATTTGAAAATTCTTAAATCTAAAAAATTAATATTTTACAAATATCAATTATTTTAACCTATTAAGCACCTGATACAAAGTTATCAATTACTTTATTTATAAAAAATAGATTAAATTACTAGAATTAAATAATTAACTCATTATTTATGGCATAAATCTTACTATTAAATTACTTAAATTTAGATTTTTATTGGAGATCTATAATTTTCCAATATCATTAAATTTAATTAAAAAAAGGTTTGTATTAACAAATATCAAACTTTATAGTAAAACAATTTAAATACCCTGGCATTATTCATTACAATAAATAAATAGCAACAAATTCAGATTTCACACCAACATCTCTTGTAAAGCCTATACATGGAGTCATTTTCAACCTTTACATAATAAATTCAGAGTCATTAGTAAGTATACATCGCCTAACACGTAACTTTTCTTGATTTTAGTAATTAACCAAGACATTGGCGGTTTAATGACATTTTTATTCCTTAATCAACTATAATTTTACCACATCTAACCTAATGATTCAAGAAAAATACAACTGGATCCTTAGGTTTTTTTTGTTTTGTTTTTTTAGAGGCAAAAAATTGATCCATCCATCAGATTGGGAGAAAATAGTTAAATTAAAGTTGTTTATTTAATATCTATCCAAATTCTAGAAGACACAATATTGAACACATGTGCATTAGCATTGGCCGCAAAACTATTAAAATTCTTTTATATAATTTTAATTTTATCTTTTAATATTTAATATAATTATTTAAAATTAAATTTTATAATTTTTTTAAATTAAATATTTCACATCTAATTATTACCAATTTAAAAAATTAACAATTTTTTTAGAAAAAAGCTTTATAATTTATTTTTTATTAAGTTATTTAAATTTTATAATTTAGAAAGAGAGTTTGAGGAAATATTTTAGATTTACTCGACTCTAATTATTATTATTATAAATTTATCATTCTACCTCAATTTTTCAAAAACTGATTTTTTATAAGTTTTCCTTCTTCCATTTCAACACAAAACTATTAAAAACAGAAAAATACAGCTAATTATTAATAATTCCAATGTCCAGACATAAAATTATAGTAGCATTCTTGACCCCACTGCCTCAATGCCCTCTTTATGTGGTGGTCAAGTAAATAGAAAACATAAAGTTGTATTTCTTTTTCTACAAAATTCAGACAAATATTCAAAGTTATTAAATTTACTTGATTCATTATTTAATTTAATACTCTGCTAATGAGTTAAGTAATTTAACTCAAATTGACATATATTAATTAAATATAATATTATTTTTTAAATTTTTAAAAATTATGATAAGTTTTTAAAATAATATTTTTTTTATATAAAAAAAACTGAATGATAAGTTTTTAAAATAATATTTTTTTATAAAAAAACAAACTAAAATGATTAGGTATGATATAAGTAACTTCTAACTAATTTAATTTAAAAATTTAACCTAAGTAGAATTTTAAATAAGCAAGTCACTAAATTAACTAACGGGAGATGGACATGCTAAGACTTTTAATATTTGAAAGCTATCTAAAGAGTTATGGCCAAAATATTTCTGGTTGGACCTTAAACCAAATCCTTAAAGCATGATGAAGAAAAGTTGTGAAGAGGGAAGTGTTCCCTTCTAGATAGATGAAGCTCCTGTTATTTTTGTATTTAAAAGTATTTTAAAAAAATATTTTTTATTTTTTTTTATTTTAAATTAAGATTTTTTATTTTGTTTCTTCATCTTAATATATTAATATCAAATATAATTTTTTAAAAATAAAAAAAATATAATTTTAATACTTTTTTAAATAAAAACACTTTAAAAAAATTACAATTATACTATCAAATACCCCTAAGTAATTTGTAACTTTTTTTCCTGTTATTCTCCAATAAAATAAAATTATCTTTTCTCGTTTAAGAAAATATTTATTTTTGTATTTTAAAAATATTTTTTTATTTTTTGTTTTAAATTATTTTTTTATATTTTTATATACTAATATCAAAAATAAAAATAATTATTTTTATATATTTTTATATAAATAATATTTTAAAAAACAATCACCGCTACATCCCCATTTTCCTCAAATCATTTGAATGTTCTCTTCCATCCCACCGGTTCTAAAAACAATTAAATAAAAATATTAGTATATGCTTTTAACCAAAAGTACCGCAACGGAGTTTTAATTAAAATAATAACTTTCTCCATTAATTTTTAAAAATAATTACACATATTAAGGGTCTCTTCACTCTTTCAAATGAAATGATTGCCAATCAAATAAGTTAAATAACATAATTTATGTCCTTCCAAAAGAAACTTAGATCAAAGCAAGCTCATGCCAAGTAACATCAAGGCATCTATAAGAAATATCACATAAAGTGGAGAGTTACCCTTTGCTCATTTACATAATAATTTCCTTAAAATAAAGTATATTTTTATCCATCAAGATTCAATCCTTTTCTACTCAAGCTCTGGATAACTATTCTTTTAATATTTCTTTTCTCTTTTAAATCTTGAGAAAACCTAAATATCTTTACGAATCAAGTCTATAAAAATAATTATGTTTGGTTATTGTTTTATAATAAAATCAACAAATATAAAAATAATAAATACAGAGGAATAAAGACTGTTTTAGAGTCTATTTTTATCATTTTAAAACTTGAGATACAGGAAAATATGCCATTTATGTCTTTATCACTCCCATCTTTTTTTATTTTAAAACAATATCCAACATAATTTGATATATAATTAAATCACTGAAAACTATTTATACATGTAACAAAAGAATAGGCAAGAACCGAAAGTTGAAATTGCTTTGCCTTTTCCACTCCCGCTCTCACCAAATCGATCCCTTCTTCCATCACTCTCGCTCTACTTATTTTCTTCAATAAACACACTGACAACAAACTTAAGAGTTAAGAGAGACAGAAGGAGTGAAAGACACGGCCTTTCTGCGGTAACAGCCTCTCTTTTTTCGACAAGGATTTCAATACCCATCTTGGGCTTCTATTTTTCCAGAAACAGGCGTGTTTTTTTTCACATTTTTTCTTGTGATTTGTAGTGTTAATTAAGCTCAAGTGAAGTTCGTTTTCAGCATGGTTTATTTGCTGGTCTTGCATGGTAGTTGAGAAAATGGAAGGAAATAGAATGAAAACTTTGAGCCTTTAGGTTCTTCAAGTACTAGATTTTTTTTCACTTCAATTGTTAATTTAAGCTTAACCAAGGTGGTTTTAGCTTGGAACTTAGTCCGGTTTGTTTTGAGCTTAATTTTAATGAACTGGTTTTTGAAGCTTTTTGGTTCTTTTATCTGTGTACTTGTAGTCGTAAAAAGCTCAGTTTCTGCTGGGTTGTGTTTTGTTTTGTTTTCTGGGTTATGGTTAAATGAAGCACTTTTAGCTTCAAAACTCTTTCTTTTTATATTTTGGTATTGGCATGTTAACTGTATGAATTTGGGATTTTCTGGGTTGTGTATTCTCACACTTTTCTTTTGTTGAACTGCAAAATTTTGCAGGGTTTTTGTGTTTGCAATGGATTCTTTAATGAGTTCGAGTTGTTTATTGACATTAATGGGTAGTTGAGTTTGAGATTTGATGGTGTTTGGTTGAGAGTGAATGGGGAGTGAAGAGGTTTTGGGGAGTTCAGCGGTTATCATGGATCCTACTATCAGCCCATGCAATGGTAGTATGGTTCAGCTTATGGATGATGGCGAGGAGAATGAGAATCTGGGTGTTGATCTTCTTAATGATTTGGATTTGTATTTGGAGGATATTAAGGATAGGTTGACCATTTCAAGACTGGTGAGTGATTCAGTCATTAAGGGTATAGTGTCTGCAGTTGAGCAAGAGGCAGCCCTGAAGATTGCTGAGAAAGAATTGGAGTTGACTAGACTGAAGAAAGGATTACATCTTTACATTGTGGGTTCAGATGATGGATCTGTGTGTTCGGGGATGTGCCAAGAGCAAAAAAATGGAAAAAATGAACTTTATTCAGATACTTTTGTGGAGCATGATAGATTACAAGAATCTTTGAGAAACCTTAATATTGATGTTAAAGGGCAGCTTACAAATCTCAAGAAAGAAATTCATAAGGTTAAAGGGTCCTATTCTATGAGGAGGAGGAATTCATCTTCTGAAATTGTGGGGTTGGGTGGTATTCTTCTGGAAAAGATGCCTGATGAATGGAGTGATGTGGACAAAATGTTTGATGGTCTAGGAACTACTCTGGACTCTTTCTGCAAACATGCAGAAGATATGGTTCATTTTCCCAAGTCATTATTCTATGAGTGGCAGCAGGAGGGGGAGTTTCAAGCAGAAATTGAAGGGCTGGTGATCAAAAATTCTATCAGGGGTCTTCAAGAAGAGCTTGACCAACAGAGATTCTGTGATCAAAATACTCAGTTCTACAGTAACGGAAATGCAATTTGGCTTGAAAAGGTGAAAGAGCTTTCAAGTTTACGTCAGGAATTGGATGCTATTGCCAAGTCACTTTCTGTACCTGAAAGTGGGCATCTGATTTCTCATGGTTCCTTGGAGCACTGGAAGTCTTCAGGTCATCATTTTTCAAATGGAAATCATGATGAGTCAATAATTACCATGCCAGAAAATTTGGAAGCTGTCGAGCTAATAAAGGACATGAGCAAGGAAGAATTGTTTCATTATCTCAAGACCGAGATGATTAAAATGAAGAGAGACCACGAGTCAAAAGTGCAAAACATAACTGAAGAGATATTCGCCTTGAAAGGGGCATACTTGAAAGGAAGGGGATCTACTTTGCCAGGGAGGAAGGATAAGGATTTTGACACACTGAGGAAAAAGATCCTTGAAGTCATTCTGAAATTGGACAACATTCTCATTGAAAATGAGAAAGTGCCTGCAATGAGCGACAGTGCAGAGAGTCTTGACACTATGAAGGATGGACTAGAATCACTCCGTATAGAAAACCATAAACTACAGGACTTGCTTGCACAAAAGCAAAAAGAAATAAAGCTCCTTTCCTCACAAGTTTCTCATGCTGCTGAGAAAACTTTGCAACATTCTCGGACTGAGGTAAACTTGTTCAGAATGATCACAAATCTTAAAAGCTCAATTGAAGATGCACATGTTGAAGCTACAATCAGTGAACATCTGTATAAATTACTTCTCAAGGAATTCATGGGCCAGATCAAATGCTTCAGTAAAGAATCAGACCTGGAGTACAATATTATGGAGGGAAGTTCTGAAATCATTTTCAGAGAAGCAGCTCAAAATGTGAAACCTGCTAGCAAGTTGGACATTGAAGATTCAGATATGGAGTCCATTATTATGCAAGGGGTGTTGGAAATTGGTCTTCAAGAGGCCTTCAAGGAAGCTGAGGTTCAACTTAGTAGCTTCAACCTGAAATATATTGATGAGAATGAAGCTCAATTGTCACTTGAGAGGGAAGCCATGGAAAAATTGGAGCAAGAGATACACTTACTAAAAGCAACAATTAAAGAAAAGGACAAACTAGTGCGGGAATCAGTAGATGAATTGGAAAAAGAGAAGGAGAATTTTGAGTTGGTTTCTCAAGAGCTTCACTGTTTAAAGGTTCAGACATATCAACAGGGTCTTTTAACAGAAAACTTGAGGGAAACTGCTGAAGAGAGAAGCAGGCTACTTGCTGCTTCTCAAGAGAAGCTATCATTGGTTGAAGCAAGAGAGAGGAACCACAGGGAGAAGCTAGCTTCAACTATTTTTCTTGTCAGTGGATTGACAAGAGCAGTCACTGATTTTGAAAGCAGATCCACAAAAGAAATCGAAAGGAAAAGCTTGAGGTACTTACACCTTGCCTTCTTTTTTATATAAAAGTTATGCGATTTCCCATGGTTGGTCCTGTTTTTTAAAATGGTAACCTTAAATGCTTAATTAAGCCTACACTGCACCCATGAATACTCATCTTTGTAATATAAATGATTCTGGTGCTTAGGTTATGCGAGTGAGAAATGGTATGCCCCCATTCTATTATATTACCTGATTTTTCATATCATTAATCTATAAAGCTTGAAAGAGTTGAGGATTATGATGCTGTCAAGGATGATGTTTTTACTGAAAATTGTTGTGGAGCAGAGTAAGTTTATTGATAAGAAACTAGCTATAATAATATGTGGCATTTGTTGTAGGTTGGAAAACCTGAATTCACAATTTGGTTCTCTTATTCAGAAGGTTAGTATACTTAAAAGAAGGGGGTTTCTGTACAAGAAGAACTTGGAAAGTAGATGTTCTGACCTTCGAAAGGCTGAGGCTGAGGTATGCCCTTGAATCCACACTTTTTGAAGACTTTTCATATATTTTAGTGGCCTGCCATCTTCTCATAATAACTAGCACTGTATAGAAGAAGTATTAGGAAGTAAACTGATGGTTGGTTTGTATCTTTTTGCATAGACTATACGTACTGTATGGAGATGAATTCCAAGAACTTAAATGGTGGCATATATCACATAAGTAGAACTAATATGTTAATTCATTATTTGAGGAAGTTGCTACTGCATCTCATTGTATATTTCAGATTTTCTAATCAATAGCACGTCTCACAATAATATGTACTGTCACTATGGCGTTTTTCTTTATTTTTTTTCCTGGAATGGTCTTCTTGGCTGATAGATGTCTGGATACAGTTTTCGTGCTTTATTCTAAAACTATAAAATTTGTAGGATAGGTGTTAATGCACTGCCTTAATGGATAGGGATGGCTTGATTCACATCCTCAGTGGCACTATAGAACCATTAGGGACTTTGAGAAGTAAAAAAAAGAATTGGAACCCTAGAAATCGTTTTCCTTACGGAAGTATTTTGGAATTTGGCGGGGGGTTATTCGATGCTACTTGACCAAGATTATCTACCATTGAGGTTGTTGGAGCTTTTTATTTCAAAAGGAGAAATTTTCAGTGAACTAATTATATTTTTGTAAATTTGGGTAGTCTTCATAGTGACCCCAGGTTCATTTAATCCTACTTCAAGAAAATATATACACATTAACTTGAAAGAATGTGTATTTTCATTTTTCTTAATTAGTTTATTAGATTGTTTCTTGAATTTCAGGTTGATCTTTTAGGTGATAAGGTGGAAAATCTTCAAAGTCTTCTTGAAAAGATATACATAGCGCTGGATCATTATTCTCTGATATTGAAACATTATCCTGGAGTAAGATGCTCTTCCCTTCTTCACCGACACTTCTTTGATGTATTTGGAATTAATTTGTGTTTGCTTGCTTTCATTTTACCTCTTGGGTGTGTGATTGAATTTGATTCTTTCTTGAAGTTGTGAAGTGGAATAATGCTGGCACAGAGTTCATCAATTCATGTTGTTTTTTGACACTGCATACAAGGAAATGCTACGAATTTCCTGATCTTGAATGAATCTCATTCAGGCTTCAACCAATCAAAATTTTCAATTTTAATTATATATAAAAAGAAACTAATAAAACAAGAAGGTAAATAGATCCTAACACAAAATAAATTGACTATTGAACATTTGCACATCAATTGTGGCCAAAATTTGAAATTATGTGTTTTTCATGGTTAAGCATTACTGATATTGTAATGAACTCCATCAATACCCTTGAGAAATTTCTATTTTGATTCATCTATTCTAACCCTTTACTCCATTGCAGATTACTGAGATTCTAAAGCTAATTAGAAGAGAATTGAATGGAGAATCTATGACCGCTTGCACGCTTGACCCTGCAAACTCCTTGCAAAGCAATGCCTTTGGTTCCAATGCAAAGAAATTTGAAGATAAAAGAGTGTGATGCCAAACAGTTGCAGCAAGAGGGGCCAGACACTCGAGGGAACTTGTTTTTTTGCGAGACAGTATGTCCCACGTCCCTGGTTCTGAACCGCCTGTCTCAGTTGAACCACAAGATGGTTCTGTGATACAGTTTTTTGTTCTCACTCCCCTGCCCACATAGATTATAGTATTTTTGTAATCAAAGAACAAGACTCCTTTTGTCTCAATAAGTCCTCTTATAGCTCTTTTATATTTGGCTGTTTTTTTATGTATTGAATTTATTCCATGTTTCATACCATAGGCTTCCATGTTAATGTATAGTTATTTCTACAGTCAGTGAATAATTTGCTAGGCGTTTTTTAACAATTCCTGAGATACGTTAGCTTTTATCCCAAGAAGAAAAGAATTCTCTTGCAAGCAAATAAAAAGTGATTCCTATTCAAAACTATTAAAATTGATGAGCAATTTCCATGCAACGTAATCGACATGTTGGTGGGATAAGATGAATAGCTATGCAACACAAACGTCAATTGTGTGCAACACCGGCCATCGGGCCAGTCTCCCCGTAAAAGTGATCCCCTCGTGTTAAAATTCATAAGAAAACGTTGGTTATCTTAAGCAACTTTTTGAATAAGCACACAGGGTACCTTCACCACACAAACAAAGTCTTTGAACAACAGCCTCGTACAGAATCCAGATTGGTAATGTATTGATAATTACTTATAGAAAACTAAGTATACTGATACAATATTTAATGTAATTCGACAAATCATCTACATTCACAAAAAAAGTTAATATTATTAGAGATAGATAGAGAAAAGGTTACAACATATATATAAAAAAGGATCATTTCATTTAAACTCTACTCTCATTGTTCTCTCATACACTACTACCCTTGGCAGCCCCTTTTTCTCTTGTTTTCTCCTCTCTTTACTCTCACTCACTCTTTCATTTTACTCTTAAATAATGCCTCTATTTATAGACAATTCAATATCAGATAAGAGGCTATAAATCATAACACAAATGGTGGCAGCACATGGGTTGCACTATTTTTATCAATGGTTGGTGCAATTTAACTTGATAATACACACCTATCATTATAGGCTTTTGACAATAACAACCCTACTTCTTAAGGTAGGTTGCATAAGTTGTTGTCTATTAATGGCAATATCCCAACAATCACTACCTTTGACATTTATATGGGCAATTGTCCTTTTGCTTTTTTAGCATAAGCTTGCATCCTGCAGTTCTTCCAAGCTTACCATTCCGAGAGCATCTATGGCCAAGTTTACAGATACTCGCTAAACCTTTCAGTCACCAGAGTTACCCAAGCACATTTTCTTACACCAAAGGATCACTTCAACTAGATGATCTCCTGCATCATATTTAAAAAGTGTTAACGCTTGTCTCTAGGATCTAACATTCTCCTTCGAGCGTATTAACTATACTCGGTTTAGAATGATTTATCAAGCCTCACATCAAGATTTACAACACCCCCTCAAATGGAAATTTCTCTTTCCAAATGCAACAATCATTATCTGAGTATTTTAATATGATCACGAGCTCACCACTCTTCCAAAAGTCTACTCATCCAAGAATTATGTCTGCCCTCTGTTCCACCCTAGGAACCATGCTTCAATTCTCCGTAAGTCTTTCGCTCATAATTCAAAAAGTTTAGATAGCTCTCCACCTTTAACCATGGGGGCAGCCCATCAAAGGTTGATTCATATTTGTCTTCATGCTATGAGTATTACAATACCATTACTGAGCTCATCACCTTAACAAGAGTCAATTTGTTCCCGAAACCTACGCATGCTCTTTGCTTATTCCTAGCAGTCACGTCTTAATGCTCCACAAGTTGAACTAGGGCTTCTATCATGACCCTCACACTTTCTCCTGAGATGTCTCTACTCGTCGTGATGCTGCGGTCTAATTTTGGGCTCATCTCATAGCCTACACACTTTCTTTCCAAGGTGTTTTCGCCTTTCATAGGCGGTCGCATCCTCCTTCAACTAGGACACTTCAAAGTGGCTTCAAAATTTTCTACCACCATGTGGATTATAGAAGAGATCACTGTCATTGATCATATAAAAAGAAAAAGTTGTGGTACGCTCATCGTAATCTTCCATCTCGATTTTTATGTTTGGTTGGAGCTTTTATACCTTTTTGCTTGATAGCTTCACCTACACCAACTCTCCTTTAGTGTCTTCACCTTTTATAGGTAGTTGCCTTCTATCATAGGAGTTTGCACCCCCTCAATTAGGTGCTTTTACAACAGCTTATCTTTCCATCATTGCATGCATTGGAAAGGTCTTCGTATATTACCTTTATTAAGAACACAAAAGACTTTCTATTGTATAACTTTTCACACAGTCTTTGCTTTGAGCTTCATCTGAGAGCTCTTCTTCTCCTTACACCTGTTGTCTCATTACAATACCTTATTGGATCCTACGAGTACTCCTGCACAATCTCCATGCGCTCTCGTGCAATTTCTGCTCTCTAAATTTCACCATATTCCTTGTTTATGTTTGACAGCAGCTCATCCTATCACAACACCTATCCAAGTCAAAATAAGGTGTCAATCTTTATCTCTTTTCTATATTTCTTTTTCATTATCAGGGTCTTCATCCATTCTCCCCTTGAGAAATCACAGTAACCTAATCTAACTTCATTAAAGAAATCACCATTCCATCAGATTATTCATCTAACTTCACAATAACTAAACTGTCATATATACGAAAATAGTATCATATGGATAATCCTTCAACTAAGCAAGTTCCTAAGAAAGATTGGAGGGGTCACAACGGTCCCGCTTAAAACTCAATCTCCTAGCCAAAACTTTTTAGGCCATATTTATCCATCGTAATGTCTTTTCATATATACAACCATTCGTTAGCTTTGTTATGGCCTTCCTTTACAAGTGATCTGGGGTATCTTGGTTTCATACATGATTTCTCAACATCTAGCGAGACTACTAGTGCTTAGAGTTGTCTAGATTGGTCTTCATTAATTTATACTCTCCACCTCTAATTGTCCACATGATTGGACATCCAGAGTGTCTCAATTTTGCCTTCACTCAAGGCAACTAAAAAATCTCCTCACTTAACAGTTCTACACATGTAATTGGGCAAATATGTGCGATTTCCTCTTCTTCATCTCCATAGACCACCATGATAACCTTCAAATGCCTCCTGATGGATCGATCTCTTTTTAATAATTCACCACCTCAACTTTTGGTCCAAATCTCAATGATCGGACCATATCATGGCATCCGAAATGATCAAATTAGCTAGAAACAAGTTTGAAATCATCCAAATCGCATTTCAGACGGCTATGATTTAATCAAAACAATTATATCCTCATCAACAGCTTAGATTCAATCTCAAATCCAGTTGCACGTAGGATCAACTAAACTAGATTCTATCCCTCAACTTGTGGCTTGGCTCTAACTTAGCTTTGCTCGGCTCCATTTGGCTCGGCTCAACCCAGCTCAGCTCGAGCCTGATGACATGGCAAGTGGGCCCCACTGTGCTTATGTGTTAGATGACTGAATGCTGACATGCCATGCCACCTGTACATGCTGGCGTCATGCTTACATAATGATGACATCATCATTATCCAAGTCAGGCACGTGGGTTGAGTCAATTGGTATTCGAGTCAAGTAAGCCCATCCCGGCTAAGAAGACGAGTGCGACGCATGGCGTGTGTTTGTGCATGTGGTAACCATCTCGTCGGCACGTGTGGGCGGGCTCGGCAATTTTCGACATCCAATTTCAACGCCGTTTTCACTAGTGGTTTCATCTCTTCCTCCTCTACACAATGGTATGGTCAAAACACAATATTGACAACTCTTTTTTTTAGCAAAATCAAACACCACTTTAAACTATGTGCTCTAATACCAATTGTTGGAGAATCTGGACTGGTGGTTTAACATAGTTCAACAAATCGCCTACATCTACAGGATAAGTCAATATTATTAAAGATAGATAGAGAAAGGGTTACAATACACATAGAGGAGGATGATTACATTATTCAAACTCTACTCCCATTGCTCTCACACACACTACTACATATTGCAGCAAGGCTACTACCCTTAGTAGCCCCTTTTTCTCCCTTTTTCTCTTCTCTTCACTCTCACTCACTCTCTCTTATTTTGCTCTCAAATAATGCCTCTATGTATATGAAATTCAATGGTAGATAAGAGACCATAAATCATGGCACAAATAATGACAACATATAAGTTGCACTATTTTTGTCAACGGTTGGTGCAACTTGACTTGATAATACACACCTATCATTATAAACTTTTAATAATAATAATCTTACTTCTTAGAGTAGGTTGCACAAACCATTAATGATAATATCCCAACACAGCCTTCATACTTAGAGTCAAGTCCTCGACTGCATCAACTAATATCTTAGTTGCAACTTGATCGCAAGCTTCAGCACAAGATACCAGTTCTAGAACAAGAGCTGCAATGCGAGCCCAAGATGGATCAGCATAAGTCCACCTAAAACGGCAGTGAAAAGATAGGCATCAGTCGAACCAATGCTATTCAGGATGCTTTAGAGGAGCAGGATATCTCTTAAAGCCATTTCAATAAATGCTAAATATCATGTGCTTCGAACCATTTGTTGGTTAAAGAAGTGGAAAGGGAACAGAAAATACACAGGACACAAAAAGAAAACACTCACTGTGAGGTATACTTAGATCTAATATTTCAAAGCTCAAAGCTCAAACCAATAACTGAAAGCAAAAAAGACAATCAGAGTCGAGCATTAAAAGAGATACCCAATAAGTTCATCTGGAGATGAAAGACAGAGTGCCTTTAAAATCTTATTTGTTAGCAGCATCTGTGGACCACGACCATCATGAGCCCTTATTACTGCAGTTAGTGCCTATGCAGCAATTCCATAGCCACTGCAATTAACACATAGTACTATAAAAATTATAAGATAAAGCTTACTGATATTAAAAGCCATTAGAAAGAAAAAGCACCATTGTCATTTTCAGAAAAGTAATTAACATTCAAACTATTGATTATTTATGAAGTAACAAGGAAAGAGAATTCAAATTGTATCTCATACATACTGACTGCATTAGGCAAAGAACCAACAACGCATCAAGTGTGCAGCACATACCTCCCCCAATCACCTAGGACAGGTCCTGCACCTGAAGCTCGAGCTTCTCTGCCATCTTCAGCAAATCCATAAGAAATGCACCCTGTACCAGCAATTAAAACACAGCCAAGAAGCTCTCCCATGGTCCCACTTACAAGAGCAGCAACAGCACCATTCTGAACATACAACTTCACATGGCTAGGGAATTTTTCTCTGTAAAAATAGTCATCTGATT